TTTTTTTTTTTTTTTTTGGTGGCTGGCTGGTTTGGAGATCCAAACCCTTAACCTTGGTGTTGTAACAGCGTGCTCTAACAAACTAAGCTAACTGGCCAGCCTCAAACTGCTGTGAACTCTTTATTCATACAATGCATTGTGAAGTCACTTGGCTTCCACCCAATGGGAATGCATCATTTGATTGTTAGGTTTTCTTTATTCTTCCCCCCCCCCTCTTTCACTGCCTCAAGATAATTAAAGTACCATTGTCCCTTGGTACCACGGGGTATTGGTTCTGTGTCCCCGCCTCCCCATACCAAAATCCATAAATGTTCAAGTCTCATAAAATGACATAGTATTTGCATGTAACCTAAACATCGTCCTGTATACTTTAAGTCATCTCTAGATTACTTATAATGCCTAACACAAAGAAAATGCTATGGGGTCAGCCCGTGGCTCACTCAGGAGAGTGTGGTGCTGATAACATGGTGCTGATAACACCAAGGCCACAGTTTGGATCCTTTAAAAAAAAAAATGCTATGTAAATAGTTGATATACTGTATTGTTTAGGGAATAATGACAAGGGAAAAGTCTGTACATGTTCAGTACAGACACAACCATAGTCCCGACTACATAGTCCACCTCAGCAACAACGTAACATTTTCTGGATATTTTTTCCGAATATTTTTGATCTGAGGTTGGTTGAATCCTCAGATGTAGAACTCACAGATATGGAGGCCTGTTTCTAATATTAACTGCTATCACAATCATAACCACAAAGGCGAATTTGAGCCCTGAGATTCTTTGGCAGTATCTCATTTTCGGGTAGTCATTCAGATGAACCAGAATGTTTTTATTACTTTTTAAAGTCACAGAAAAAAGATTAAATTTAAAGTTACCCCGATGAATTCATAGACTCCCCTCTCCTCCCAAGTATATCTGCGAACCTTAATCTGAGAAACACGGATTTTCAGGACTGAATTGCTGTGAATGCAGCAGGGAGGCCAGGGAAAAGNTCGGGTAGTCATTCAGATGAACCAGAATGTTTTTATTACTTTTTAAAGTCACAGAAAAAAGGTTAAATTTAAAGTTACCCCGATGAATTCATAGACTCCCCTCTCCTCCCAAGTATATCTGCGAACCTTAATTTGAGAAACACGGATTTTCAGGACTGAATTGCTGTGAATGCAGCAGGGAGGCCAGGGAAAAGGAAATAGCTTGGTGTGATGACTCACCGATGTCTAGTCTGGGCCACTGAGTGCCTGGTGGTCCTATTCACTGAAATCGGGGTGGGGGAGGGAAGGGGAGAAGTACAGAAGCCAAAAAGAGGCAAAGTTTAAGAAAAATGAAGTGTTCGACACAGATGCTCTTAAAGATCAAGTAAGATAAAAGACTGAAAACAGTTAATTATATTTGGTGATTAGGAGGTGCGGACCACAGTAAGTGCAATTTCAGTGGAGTTACGTGGGCAAAGTCTGATCACAGTAAATCTGAGTTTAAAGTCTAAAGGGATGGGAAGTGAGGAAGTGCGGCTAATAATTCAAGACTTTTTTGCTTTGTTGTGAAAAACGTAGCTAGAGGGGACTGCAAGGAAGGAGGACTTGAAAACAATACAAAAATGTTGACCATGGGTGGCACGAGGTCTGGAGAGGAAGAAAAGTCAATAGGTAGCTTACACGTAGAGATTCTTGAAGAGCAGAGATCAGATCAAGGGTCAAGTGAAAAATTCCTTCGGTAGCTTGGAGAAGGAGGTGGGTGGAGTTACAGACAAGGAGTGGGGAACCGAGGCAAAGCACACTTCACAGCCGTTAAAAAGAAAAAACCTCAAACAAGTTTAAATTTACAGGAGTTTGAGAAAACGGCAAGAACAACGACTTGTGAATCCAACAGCCCTCAAAGCCAAAATAGGTTCTAAGAACTGCCTGCTATACGGTCAGGCAGCGTTTACGGACAGAACAGAGCTGGACAAAAAGAACTGGTTACAGCTCACGTTTTGTCTTATTTGAATCAGCTGGCTGCCGACGAGTGACTAAAGTTCAGCTGTTAACTAAGAAACTCGGCTACGTATCTGTTACATAAGTATATTCCCAAATTAATTTCATTTAGCATGAATATTAGTTTGGTCTGATGGGCCGAATACAGGAGCTTAGTCCAAATCAATGCCCTCCTACAAATTCAGCACACCGAACGGCCTCAGTGTTCTCTATAGAATGAGGGGCAAGGTTCTCTGCGGAGAGAGAAGGGCGGAGGTGGGGCGAATGACTTGGGAAGAGTGTGACGCTCTGGGACGGAATGCTGCCTGGGAAACAATAAAAATGATGATTGAGAAATGCTGAGGGCTCTGCTGAGGGTGTTTTACTATGAACGTGGCACCAATCTCGAGGTTATGTGACTTTTCTTTCCAATTCTCCCCAGCACGGTGTAAGGTGCAGAGAGGGCAGACGAATGTTGACTTTTACTTAAATCCCTTTCCCCAAAGGCCCAGACATACGCGGACAAAGGCGTGTGGCCAAATCGTGTGAATGCTTGCAACGAATGTATGAAAAGCACAGAAGCGCTCGCGTATTTTCATTCTTGTTCTGTAGCTTGATCATCCGGAGGTCTTCACGGAAGTCGAGTCATTTCTTACAAGGAAGGGGAATAAGACGGGAGATGAGAAGAGAGGGTGTGCATAACGTTCCTTCTTTCCAGATCCACCCCGAGAGAGGGCGGGCGGGCGGGTTGCTGCTCGGTGCAGATGCCCGCTCCCCCGGGT